CCCTGGAACTGAGACCTCAAACTGTTTATGCGCAATAGAGATGCCAGTAGACTCCAGCTGCACCCAGTGCCAGCAAAGCGTCCCCTATAATCTCCTTCTGACCAGTTGTCCCACCCCCTTACTGTCTCTGGGCTGAGAGCCCCCAAAGGTGCTGTTTCTATTGATACTGCTGTTGCAGCAGTTTCTGTGGCCTGCTCCTGGTGCTGCCACCAGGCTCCAGGCCAGTGCCCAACTTGGCATCACCAATCTCTCCTGCAGACCTCCTAAGCTGTCTTAGGATGGAACAATGTCTCCCTCTGACCTTTTGTTAAATGTGATTTAAGGTATTATCTTAAAGTTGTTTGGAGGGGAATGCAGGGAGAGTTCAGCTGGGTTCCAGCCTGTTCTCTGCTGTATTGGCTCCATCCTTGATACCCTCTTCATCGTTTCTTATAGCACAATAGCTTTCCATCACATATATTTATATCTCTATATCTCATAACTTTCTCAGCCTTTCCCCAATTGATGGGCACATCATCAGTTTGAATTTTTTGTTTTGAATGTCTTTGCAAAAAGAGTGCTATAAATACTTTTGTACAAAAGGGTCCTTTTCCTCTTATTGTCCTTTCATTTTGACAAATTTATTTTGTAATATTGTGAAGTATGTATCTGCAAGTGGGGAATCAGCATGCTGGTGGCATAAGGGGTAGGAGCTCAAATTCCATCTTACATAAATCATTTTACCTCTCTGCCTCAGTTTCCTCATCTGTAAAATGGGGCTAATAAAAGCCTTCCAGGATTGTTGTGAAGATCCAATGGGATAGCATGTACAGTACTTTGTAAACCTTAAAGCATTATGTTGGCTATTATTAGTAGTATTATTTTGACTAATAATAAAAAATAAGTGCCATTTACATCCTGCTTTAACATTTGCCAAGTGCTTGAGACATATGAGCTCATCGGAGTCTCATAATTGCTTGATGAGAGGAGATATGTCATTATGGACAGAGAGCTAGCCTGGAAGCCAAGAAGGCCCAGGCTCAGGTCCTCCCTCTGAATCATATGTGCTTGCTGTGTGGGCAAGCTCTTCAATGTGCCAGTACTATGGGCAACTCAGATTCTAAGAGGTGTTGATTTACTTGAGAGCTGCTTAGTCATCAAATCAACAATAACTGTTTTTCAGGAGTGGCCCTTTAGCCGGTTTTGCATCCTATATGACTGTAATCTAATTAAGCCCAGAGCTGGAAAGGATCTCTGAGATCTCCTAAGTATGAAACTCAGTTATGTTTTGCACATAATGAACTCTGGGAATCTTTCTGAACTGGACATTCTGTGACTCTGTTAGGCCAACATTGGCAGTGATGGGTCTGGTCTGGGTGGCTAGCTACCAAGGGATTGATGCTGTTTTAGGTATCTCACAGCTATATCCAGGTGTGAAGATGACTCAAAGGATGTCAGGATGGGAAAGTACCGTAGAACTTAGAATGGAGAGTATGACCCAGGAAAAGTGCTTTAGACCTCAGAATGCTGAGTGTCAGAGGCTGGAAGGACTCTAGAACCCAGTAGCTTTAGAATATAAAAGTTGTTTTGATTTTAGTTATGTCCAAGTCTTCATGACCCCATTGGGGGTTTTCTTGGAAAAGATACTGGAGTGGTTTTTCATTTCCTTCTTCACCTCATTTTACAGATGAGGAACTGAAGCAAACAGGGTGAAGTGACTTGCCTAGGGTCACACAGTTACTAAGTGTCTGAGGCCGCATTTGCACTCAGGTCTTCCTGATCCCAGCCCCAGTGTTCTACTCACTGTGTCACCTAGCTGCCCAGAACATAAATGCAGAAAATCAAAGCTGTAACAGACTTTAGAACTCACAGTTTCAGAGCTGGAAGAGCTTTAAAACACAGAAAGCAATGCCTCAAAGCGAAAACAGACTTCAGAACAGGAAAAAGGCTTCAGAACAGATGGCAGATTTAGAACACAGAATGTAGTCTTTAGCAAGCCTTTATCAAGAGCCTGCTATGTGCTCTAGGCTAACTTCTGGAAACTCAAAGAAAGGAGGGGCAGCTAGGTGGCACAGTGGATAGAGGACCTGCCTTGGAGTCAGGAGGACCTGAGTTCAAATCCGGCCTCAGACACTTAACACTTTCTGGCTGTCTGACCCTGGTGGGCAAGTCACTTAACCCTGATTGCCTCAGCAAAAAGAAAAAAAAAATCTCTGAGCAAGAAAAAAAAAAGAAACTCAAAGGCAAAAACATTCCTTGACTTCAAAGAGCCCACAGTTTCATCAGGGAGACAACATGCAAACAACTGGGGACAGATAAAATATAGATGGGATAATTGGGGGTAATCTCAGAGTGAGGTGCTAAGGGTAAGGAGATCCCAGTAAAAGCTTCTGGGAGAAGGTGGGGTTTTAGCTGAGACTTGGGAACAAGGAAAAAGTAGGGGCCAGAGGTGCAGAGGGAGAGAGTGGGGGACAGGCAGCAAAAATGCTCTGAGTCCCATGTCCTGTGAGAACAGGAAGGAAGCCAGAGTCACCAGTTTGAAGAGTATGTGCTGAGGAGTTAGGAATATGTTAGGTTACTAAGGGCTTTCAATGCCAACAGTATCAGAACATCAAAGTTGAAATGGACTCCAGAACACCAGAACTGGAAAGAATTTGGAACATACAGGCTGAGGTGGAGGCTTTAGAACACAGAACACAGTGTCAGGTGAATGGATTTCAGAGCTCATACTCTGAGAGCCAGAAACACTCATGAACACAGAAGGCAGAATATCAGAGTTGAAATTGACTGCAGGACTCAGAGTATTAGAACTGAAATCAATCCGGTGAAACTGGCCTCCTCCTGGCTGTTACAGGAACAGGATGCTCCATTTCCCACTCCAGGCATTTTCTCTGGCAGTCTCCCAAGCCTGGAATGCTCCTTATCTCTGCCTCCCCACTTTAAGTTCCAACTAAAATCCTACCTCCTTTTTTTTTCCACTTAATAGTAATTTATTTTTTCCAATTACATGTAAAGAAAAATTTTAACATTCACTTTTGAGTTCCAAATTTTTTCTCCCTCCCTCCCCTCTCTTTTCCCCAAAATGGCAAGCAATCTGATATAGACATACATGTACAATCTTATTAGACATATTTCTACATTAGTCATGTCATGAAAGAAAAATCAGAACAAACGGTGAAAACTATGAGAAACAAAAAACAAAAAACAACCCAATAAAGTGAAAATAGTATGTATACTTTGATCTGCATTCACACTCCATAGTTCTTTCTCTGGATGTGGACAGCATTTTCCATCATCAGTCTTTTGGATTGTCTTAGATCCTTGCATTGCTGAGAAGAGCTAAGTCTATCATAGTTGATCACTGCACAATGTTGCTGTTACTATGTACAACATTCTCCTGGTTCTTCTCACTTCACTCAGCATCAGTCGTACAAGTCTTTCCAGGTATTTCTGAAGTGCACTTACTCCTCATTTCTTATAGCACAACAATATTCCATTACATTCATATACCACAACTTGTTCAGCCATTCCCAATTGATGGACATCCCCTCAATTTCCAATTCTTTGCCACCACAAAAAGACCTGCGATGAATATTTTTGTACATGTGGGTACTTTTCCCTTTTTAATGATCTCTTTGGGATACAAACCTAGAAGTGTTATTGCTGGGTCAAAGGGTATGCACATTTTTATAGCATTTGGGAATAGTTCCAAATTGCTCTCCAGAATGGTTGGATCAGTTCACAACTCCACCAACAATGCATTAGTGTTCCAATTTTCCCACATCTGCTCCAACATTTACCATTTTCCTTTTATTTTTTTGTAAAGTTAGCCAATCTGATAGGTGTGAGGTTGGTACCTCAGAGCTGTTTTAATTTGCATTTCTCTAATCAATAGTAATTTAGAGAATTTTTTCATATGACTACAGATAGCTTTAATTTCTTCATCTGAAAACTGCCTGTTCATATCCTTTGACCATTTATCTGTTGGGGAATGACTTGTATTCTTATAAATTTGACTCAGTTCTCTATATATTCTAGAAATGAGACCTTTATCGGAGACCCTGGCTGTAAAATATTATTTTCCATCTTTCTGCTTCCCTTCTAATCTTGGTTGCATTGGCTTTGTTTGCACAAAAACTTTTCAATTTAATGTAATCAAAATTATCCATTTTGCATTTCATAATGTTCTCTATCTCTTGTTTGGTCACAAATTCTTCCCTTCTCCATAGATCTGACAGGTAAACTAGTCCTTGTTCTCCTAATTAGCTTACCGTATCACCCTTTATGTCTAAGTCGTAAGATGTTGGTCTATGCCTAGTTTCTGCCATACTGTTTTCCAGTTTTCCTAGCAGTTTTTGTTGCATAGTGAGTTCTGACCCCAGAAGCTGGAGTCTTTGCGTTTATCAAACAGATTACTATAGTCATTGACTACTGTCTTGTGTATTTAACCTATTCCACTGATTCACCACTCTCAAATTCCACCTTCTACTGGAAGCTTTTCTCAATCCCTCTCAATTCTAGTCGCTCTCTTAATTATTCCCTATTCGTAGGTCTATTGCTTATTGTCATGTATTTATTCGTTCTTCGCTCGTTATCTCCCCAGTGGCACACGAAGTGCCTTTTGCCTTTCTATGCTCAGCTTTTAGCACAGAGACTGGCACGTGGTGTAGCGCAATAAATGTTAATTGACTTTAGAACCCTGAGTTTAGGAGCCTAAACTGCCCATAGAACTCCAAGCTCCGGGCTGAAACTGACTTTAGAACGCTGAGTATAGGAGCTGAAATTGATCATAGAACCCTGAGCTCAGGGCTGAAACTGACTTTAGAACGCGGAGTGTCGGAGCCGGAAGAGGAAGAGTCGCCCGCCCGGGAGAGAACCGAACTGGGGAAGTTTCCGGACACGCTACACAAAATGGATTTTGTCCTGCGGCGGGTCGGAGTCCAAACTGGCCCTAGAACGCCGCGGGTGTCCTAGCCCCTCCTCCCGCCCCGCCCCTCTACCCTTCCGGGCGGGCAGGCGGCCGAGGGGGTGGCCTCCCAGGCGACAGAGGGCGGGCTCGGCCCGGGTTCTCTCCCCGCCTCCGGCCCCGGCGCCGGCCCGGTCCTCTCGCCTTCCCCAGCGTGGGTGACTTTGAGCCGGCGTGAGTCGCAGGCTCCGCGCGGCCTCTCCCCGCCCCGCCCCCATGCCCGTTATGGCGGCTCCGGGCGCCGCTGCCACAGCTTCGCAGCTTCTCTGCTGGAGAAGCCTGCGTGTGGTGAGAGCTGGGGGCTGGAGGGATGGGGGGGGGGAACTCAGCGGGGGAGGGGGAATATGTGGGGAAGGGGAGCCCTGCGGGGCACCTCAGGTGGCGGAAGAGGGGGTGACGTGAGGAGGTGAGTGGGGGGCGATCTAAGGCGGAGAGTGATGATACAAGGCTGTGGAGGGGTCACTTGGGGGGGCAGGGCGGTCCAGAGACTGGAACTGGAAGAACGTGGGCTCAGAGTGGGGGAGGGGATGTAGCTAAACCGGACTAGTGGGTGCAGAGGCTGAAGGTTGGGGAGAGGGGGGTCTTTGCTGAGACTTAGAGGCGGGGGGAATGTGTGTTGGGGGGTTTGAGAAGGGAGTGTAGGAAGCCAAACGGGTCATCTCTGGCTGGAGGGAGAAAGCCGGCCCTGTGATTTAGCCGCGGTGACCCCAAGGACTTACCGACCTGGTCTCCAGGTCATGGAATTCCATCCCTTGGTTGTGTAGAGGAGGAAACGGGCCTGGAGACAGGAAGGGAGGTGAGTGGATCAAGAAGCATTTGGGAAGCTGCTAGGCACCGGGCTGCTCGTTGGGCATACTGACACCAAAAGGGAAAAGCCCCTGCCCCCGGGGAGTTTACAGTCCAGGGGCTAGGACCGGGCGCACACGTTTATGGAAATGGAGCCCACATAGTTCTAGGTACTGTAATGGCGTGCATTTGTGATAATAGCTGTCATGTAGGTGACCTTTGCGAAGCGCTTTACAAAAGGAGTTTGTTCTCAGAGCGACCCGGGAAGTAGGTGCTATTATCCCCCATTTTATAGATGAGGAAACTGAGCCTGAGAGGAGATCAGTGACTTGCCCAGGGTCCCTCGGTCAGGACTTGAGCTCAGGTCTTCCTGGCCACTAAACCATTCTGACCCATCATGGAAGAAGGTCGTTGTGGGAGGGAAGGCCTGGCAGCTGGGGGGAGTCAGGAAGGTCCTGGAGAAGGTGGTGCTTGAGCTGTGACTTGAAGGGAGTGAGGGATTCTGGGAGGGGGGGAAGGAGGGATGCATTCCAGGCTTGAGGGCCAGCCAGTGCAAAGATAGGAGTTGGCGGGGTACTCAGAGGGGAATAACAGGGGAGAGTAGCCCTCTGTTGGGACCTGTTGTCTTCTCCATGGTGCATTTATTGTCTTTTATTGTCTTTTGTTGCACAGTGCCTGGTATGCAGTAGGCACTTAATGCTTGCAGCTTGGTTGGTAAGAAAACAAGATAGGGAGGGCTAAGGTGTTAGCCTAGAGTTGTTCTCCTCTGTACACACCAGCACCAGATTCCCACCGCCTCCTAGGCTGGGCTGCTGCTCCTGGAGAGGCCCAGCCTCTTCTCTTAGCCTTCAGCTCAGTCCAGTGAACATTTATTGAGTGCCTGCTCTCCAGGGCACAGTGCTAGGCCCTGATGGCACAGAGACAAAACCCACACAGGCCCTGCCCTCTGGGAATTTACACTTTACTAGGGTGCTATTGATGAGCAAGGTGGGCATGGGAAGCGAAACAAAGGGAGGAAAGAGAGGAGGCTGCTGGCTGGAGCATTGGAAGAGCATCACAGGAGATGGTGGCAGGGCGGTGGGGGACAGATGCCATGCCTGTGAATTTAGGGAGGCAAGAGATGGCTGATGAGTTCATGAATGATGTACCCCCCAGTACGGCTGGACTGTGGAGGGTTTGAGGAGAATCCTGGGAAGATAGCAGAGGGCCTTGGATGCCACACAAGGGGTAGGAGAGGGAGGCAACTTGGGATCTCATTGGCCTAAAGAACTCCCAGGGGAGGAACTTCCCTCTGCCAGTGCAGGTCAGCACCTCCTATGCCAGGTCTGGTCTTAGAGAGGTTAAGCCACTTGTCCAGGGTCACACAGGCCAGTGGGAGTCTGATGTGGGAAGCCAGAGATGCCAAAGAATTTTTTATTCTAAAAGATCTAGGGAACCCTTAAAGGTTTTTGATTAGGGGAGTAATATGACCAGATCCACATCTTAGGAAGATCCTTTTGGCAGCTGGTGGAGGATGGATTGGAAAGGGGCACAGTCAGAATTAGAGCAGCCAGTTGGGAGGTGTGCCTGGCCAAGAGGTCCTCTAGGGAGCAGACTCCCCCTTTTACGGAGAAGGAAACTGAAGTCTAATGAAACTCAATGACTTGTCCAAGGTCATGCAAATAGTAGGTATCTGAGGTGGGATTTAAACCCAGGTTCTTTGATGCTAGAGCCAATGGAAAGAAGGGTCATCTGGGGGCACCATAGCGCACAGAGAGCCTGGCCAGGAATCGTCAAGACCTGAGTTCAAATCCAGCCTCAGACACTTACTAGCTGTGTGACCCTGGGCAAGTCACTTCCCCCTGTTTACCTCAGTCTCCTCATCTGTAAAATGAGATGGAGAAGACATGGCAAACAGCTCCAGTATCCCTGGAACCCCGAATGGGGTCACAAAAAGTCGGACACAACTGAAATGACTGAACCAGTGGAGAGAAACAGAGGAGTCCCACCGGTGCCAGGCATCCTGGAGGTAAAATCTGCTTGGCAATTGATTGGCTCCGCAGGCGGATGTAATCTAAGCTTCTCGAGCGCAGGGACTGTTTCCGTTTTTGGCTTTGGGTCACCAGTGCCTAACGCACAGTAGGTGTTTAATAATGCTTATTGATTACTTGGTTGATGAGAGAAATGGAAGAGTAAAAAGATACTTTCCAGGTTATGAGCCTCTGAGATTCCCTTCCACCAACACTGTGTGTCATGGCTGTACCCAGTTATGTACGTGTTGCATCCCCTCTTAAGAATGGAAGTTCCTTGAGGGACGTAGTAAATGCTTCACGAATGTTTGTTTGACTGATTTGGAGAATAGTCTTGCCCTTCTAAAAAGAAGGCTGTTTGAAGTTGGGGTGGGTTTGAGGAAGAGAGGATTCATTCTGTACCCGGCACATAGTAGGTGCTTAATTAACACTTGCTGACTTTGAGGCCACAGGCTGAGTGGAACAGGAGGAGGAGCTGTCCAGCAGACAGCTAGCTGCAGATGTGGTAGCGGAATGCAGGAGAGAGATGAGGGCTGGGTGTGCACACATTTCAGTCGTCGGCGGGTAGGGATTTGGCAAGAAGGGAGGAGGGCTGAGCTAGAAAGGAGCAGGGGCTGGGAGGAGAGTTTTCACTGTGCAGGTGGTGGCTGAACCCCAGGAACAGGGGTAGCAGGAGGTAGGGTTTGCTGGTCATAGCACAGGGTAAATACCAGCTGGGCTGGCCTGAATCGATGGAGGAGCCTCACTGACAACTCCCCAGCAGAGGGCTGTCCAGCTTCGAGCTCCCCCGCCTGGCAACAGTTCCCCGTGCATGCTAGTCGGACAGTGTGCCTTTATTAAGCCCCTTCTGTGTGCCAGGCACTGTGCTGAGCACTGGGACTACAAAGAAAGGCATTGAAGGAGATAGGGCACTGTACTTGGAGTCGGAAAGACCAGAGTTCAAATCCTGCCGCCGACATTTAGTACTTCTTTGACCACTGGCAAATCAGTTGACTTCTCTTGGCCCCAACCTTTCCTCAAGAGTTGTTGTGAGGATCATGTTAATACATGGAAAGCAATTTCTAAATTTTAAAAGAGCCGTAGAAATGCTACTATTATCATGATAATTGGATCATGTGTGTGCGTGTGTATCTATGGATATTTTATGTGAGCACAGGTACATGTGCATATATGTGCACACATGTGTATGTGCTTATGTATGTATAGATGTATTTACGGGTATTTGTGTGTGTGTATATACATTTCTTTTTTCCTCAGAGATCTTTTGAAAGGAGATAATCCAGTAGACACAGCACTTCATTTGGACCCAGGAGCCTTGGGTTGGAATGTTGACTCTATTACTTACTGTCTGTGTTTTCTTGTGCAAATACAGTAACAGTAATAATAATGGCTAGCATTTCTAGAGCTTCAAAGTTTGAAAATCACTTTAGTCAGTCACTCAGCATTTATTAAGCACCTACTATGTGTCAGGTGCTGTGCTGAGGACACAAAGAAATGGAAAAACAGCTCCTGCCCTCAAGGGGCTCATAGTCTGGTGGGGAGTATACAGCCATACGATTATGTGCAGATAAGCCACAGACGGGAGAGACTGGAAAAATCAGCAGAGGGAAGGCGCTAGAATGAAGAGGGATTAGGAAAAGCTTCCTGAAGAAGGTGGGCTGTGCAGGAAGCCAGGGGACAGAGATGAGGAGGAAGGGCTCTGCAGGCATGGGGTACAGCCCACGTCGCTGGATGGCAGAGGACACAGAGGTAAGTAAGGTGTAAGAAGGCTGAAAAATGAAGGTATGGGAGGCAGGTTTTGAAGGGCTCGGTTAACAGGGAACCACTGGAGTTGGCAGAGTAGTGGGGGTGAACTGGTCAGCCCTGTGTTTTAGGAAGATTTCTCTGACAGCTGAGTGGAGAATGAGTTGGCGTGAGAAGAGACTTGAGGCAGGGAGGACCCCCTCCCCCCCCCCTCCAGCAGCCATTGCAAGTCCAGGCATCGGGGCAGCAGCCATGCCAAAGGAGAAAAGATTTATAGAAGAGATATTGTGAAGGTAGAATCACCAACACTGATCTGTTGGCAATAGATTGGATATGGGGGGTGGAGAGGAAGAGAGGATGAACTGGAGCTTTCCAGCCCCGATGACTCAGAGGGTGGTGGTGTCCTTGACAGTAATAGGGAAACTGGGGAGACGGGAGGGTTTGGAGAAAAAAATCATGAGTTCAGTTTTGAACGTGTTAAGTTTAGGACGTCTAAAAGTCAGCTGGAGATGCAAGCCTGGAGGCTGGCCAAGTCAAGCTGAGAGTCATTAGCATTGAGGTGGGAACGGATTTCATGGGAGCTGATAAATTCACCACGTGAAATAGGACAGAAGGAGAATAGGGTACAGGACAGAGCCTTGGGGGATCCCCACCTGTAGCGGGTGTGAATGGGGTGAAGATCCAGCCAAAACAACAAAGGAGGATGGTCCAGATGATGGGGAGGAGAACCAGGACAGAGGTGTCCCTAACACCTGGAGGAGAAGGTGGTGTCAGTCTGTGGAGGCCAGGGAGGGGGAGGACCTCGAGACAAGGCTGTTAGATCCCACAGCTGTTCAGTCTTTTCAGTTGTGTGTGACTCTATGACCTCATTTGGGGTTTTCTTGGCAGAGATACTGGAGTGGTTTACCATCTCCTCCAGCTCATTTCACAGATGAGGAAACTGAGGCAAACAGGGTGAAGTGACGCCCGGGGTCACACAGCCAGTAAGTGTCTGAGGCTGGATTTGAACTCAGGAGGATGAATCCCCTTGGCTCCAGGCCCAGCGCTCTATCCACTGGGCCACATAGCAGGGAGATTATTAAATACATGTTTGTTTGTAATAGGGATCTTGTTTTTCTTGCTTTCTCAGTTGGTAGGGTAGGGTAGGGGGAGAATGATCTGAAAATAAAATTTAATTTTAAAAAAGAGATCATTAATATCTTCTGAGAGAGCAGTTTTGATTTACAAGTAGTATCTCATTTTGTCCTCCCAACAACCCTTCAGAATAGGTGCCAATATTAATCCCATTTTACACGTAAAGAAACCGAGGCAGAGGTGGTTACGTGACTTGCCCAGGATCCCACAGCTAAGAAGCGAATGAGGCTGGATTCAAAGGTCAGTCTTTCCGAGGCCCAGCCGTGTGCTGGGCGCCAGGTGCTTTGTCCAAGTGCCCTTCTCTCTCTGTGGCGTCTCCTCCCGTAGTATAAAATGACAGGGTTGGACTGGACGGCTGCTGGGGCCTTTGCAGCTCCAGAACCTGCCATCTGTGTTCGGGCTGACGTTCCTGAATGGGTGCATGCGTCGGTAGGCAGCCGCCGTCTGCACGGGACCTGCATTCCCTTCTGAGCCTCTGGAGTCTGTGAGTTATTTATGGTGCAAACCCCCACCTCCCTGAGGCCCCTGTCCTTCTGATGGAGGTCATGGGATGGTGTCGGTCTGGAAACTCCCTCTGCGGAGGCGGCTCCACACGTCCTTGTGGTCCTAGAGCTCCTGGGGGCCCTGCAAGGTGGAGCTGAGCAGCCACTCTGTGTTGGAGGCAGGATTTGAATCCGGGTCTCCCTGACTCCAAGGCCAGTTCGACCCAGTCCTTGCAAATAGGAGGAGGAGGGAGTGTAGGACAGTGGAAGGGGCTCTCGATCTTGAGTTGGTGGAACTAGGTCCAAATCGTGCCTTTGATAGTTACTGTGTGACCTTAAGGGAGCTCTTGACCTCTGTCAGCCTCAGGCTTCTCCTTAATAATAACTTAATAATGTTGATAATTAATAATAATAAAACTTAATAAGGGGGCTCCTTTACACGGCAGTGCCTGGTATACAGAAAGTGCTTAACAAATGCTTTATCTTATTGATAAGCTCCCTGCCGGCTCTAAAGCTATTACCCTTTGAGCCCACGGCAAGGAGTAGGGGACCCCATCACCCCACAGTGCTATGGCTGTCACTTCCCTGTGATCTCTCATCCCTCTCTCTCTCTCTCTCTCTCTCTCTCTCTTAATGGACAGGTCCCTTTTCTCCGATGTGCCCAGAGAACATTTGCTTCCCAGACCTCGGGGGAGCTCAAAGTGACTCAGATCCTAAAAGAGAAGTTTCCTCAGGCAGCAACTATCAAGGTCACAGACATTTCAGGTATGACCTCCTCCAGGCCCCTGCGGCCACAGCCCAGAAGAGCTGCTGGCTTGGGACAGGGCGGCCCACAATCTGCTTCTTTCTTTTTATTTTTTACTGACCCACAGAAGTTCTCACCTTTCCTTCCATTGGGCCAGCGAGCACAGCCACTTCTTAAAGGCAGGAGTAATAATGCAAGTCCACGTTTCTAGGGGTTCCTTAAGAGGGTCCTCATGACTGAGCGCGTTTTACAGAGGCACCACTGAATGAGCACTTAGCTCCCAATAGGGTCTAAGTCTCTGATCTTCTGGTAGAGCTCACGTGCCCCCAGTGTGTGGAGGACTTAGGGTGGGCAGAGACCCAGGTTCAGGTCCCTCCTCAGCAGTAGTCATTTTAGCTCTCGAAGCTTTAGTATCCCCGTCTTGCAGATGGGTTAATACTTGGAAAGCCCATCCCAGTGGGTGGTTGTGGGAAAGGACTTGGAAGAATTCCAGACGTCTGAGCTGTGATTCCAGACGGATTCCTCCTTCCGCAGCCATCTACCGGAAAGGAATCCCCACTCGGGCCTCTCCTAGGAATAGTCATCCTGCATCTGCTCAAAGACCTCCCAGGAGGAAGGATCCCCTCTGCATCTAACAGGAGTCATGAGGACCACCCTAGTGGGCTGGGCTAGGGAAGAGAGAACCGTGCTCACAGTCAGGGAGACCCACGTTGGCTGCGTGTCTCTGGCTACCACAGGCAATGTTGTTGTTGCTCAGCCATTATTCAGAGGCATCTGACTGTCTGTGACCCCACTGGGGTTTTCTTGGCAAAGATGCTAGAGTGGTTTGTCATTTCCTTCTCCAGCTCATTTTACAGATGGGGAAACTGAGGCAAGCAGGATTCAGTGGCTTGCCTAGGATCACACAGCCTGTAAGTGTTTGAGGCTGGATTTGAACTCAGCTCTTCCTGACTCAAGGCTGTGTTACCAGCTGCCCTCTACCCCAGGCAATGGTCAGATCCTAAGTCCCTAAGCTGATGACAGTCTGAGTTGGGAAAGGAAGTTTCCTCAAAGGAATTTATTTCCACCAATGAAATCACACATCTTATTCCCATAGCCCCCAAAACAGAACAGAACGTCCTGCTGTTTGTCGCCTGTAGAGCAGTTGATAGTAGACTGGTCGGCAGAGCAGAGTCATGGCCCAGAATTGGCCTGCAGTATGGAGAGACCCAGGAGGTAGGCAGCAGGATGCCCAGTGGAGACCTGGCTTGGACTCACTCCTCAAAAGCAGCCTTGATCCGGGTGCATCCTCTCTCTTAACCTCAATTCCCTTTTCTATAAAATGAGAGGTTTGGGCCAGAGACCTCCAAAGTGCCTTCCAGCCCTGGGTCTGTGATTTCTGCTCTGTGCCAGGCACTAGGAAAATATACAGAGCCCAAAACTTGCCCTCAGAGACCTTCCATTCTACCAGGGGGAAAAGACACGTCACTAAAAAGGAAACAGCATGATTTTGTGGGGTTGGGGGATGAGGGGTGCGGAGCCCCGACAGCCGGGGGATCCCTAGCTAAGCACTGTTGTGCTGCCCTGCAGAGGCCATTGCTAGTTTCCCCAAATGGCATGTTAGAATCTAAGAATCCACCATCTCTTGTATCTTGGGAATCTTTCAGAGTTCATGCTTGAAGATGCAGCCTGTGAGCTGTGTCAGGGCAGGGGAGGGCCCTGGGCCTGCCCGCAGCTTCCTGTGCTATGTGGGGGTTAATGTGGGAGCTATCAGCTGTCTCCAGAAATCCCCACCAAGGATCCAGACGTACTGCCTGTCAGATAGGCCTCTGGGCCTCATCTTTACATCCACCCACAAGCGTCCCTGGTCTGCTCCACCCTCCCGGTCACTGGCTGCCAACGGCAGTGGCAAAGATATTTACCGTTTCAGCAAGGCTTGCAAAACAAATTTTACTTTGGGAACCATCAAGAGTGAGAAAATTAAAAATAGGTTAAAAAAACAAAAAATGAGAGCACTGTGATAGGATAGATGATTCTAGACTTGGAGCCAGAAAGACCTGGGTTCCAAACCTATGGGACAAACATGGATGAGTCATGGTGACAGATTGATCTTGGAGGTCATTGAGTCCACCCCCTCATTTCACAGATAAGGAAACTAAGGCACCGTCCAGTGACTTAACCCCGTGTCACCCGGGTAAGGCAGTAGAGCGGGAAGAGTCCAAGCAAGGCTTTCGGGCTACAACTGTAGGGTTCTTTCCATTACGCCACACTGCCCCTCTGAATTGTGGCCCAGAGAGGGCCTTGTACCTCCCTCTTTCTTCCGTATTGCCTGTTTTTCTAATTTCTGCATTAATAGCTGCTCTCTGCAGGATCTGGCTTAACGGATGTGGCTTTAAAGTGTGTAACACTGGGGTTTAGTGCCACCTCATACACTGGGATAAGCTGGCCTCAGTTTCCTTATCTGTAGAACAGCAAGGTTAGCCTCAATGGCCTCTGAGGTCCTTTTCATCCCTAAATTTCGGTTGATGGTCCCGTATGGTCTGTATGGCCTAGCCTGGCACATATTTGGCCCCTTATGGGTGCTTGTTGGTGCATTCATGTACTTGGGCAGCTTTTCCCCTCACTTTGCCTTTTCAGTTTTAAGCTCTTTTGATGAAGTGTATAAACCTCTGGGTAAATACCTCTTTGCTAGTCCCTAGTAGGTAACTTCCATCCCTGGCCAGGAGCCTGTCATTCCTGTATTTTAAGCTGTGTTCCAGTAATCTAAAACCATCATTTTAAAGTTTTTTTCCTTTTTTTAGACAATTGGGGTTAAGTGACTTGCCCAGGGTCACACAGCTATTAAGTGTCAGGTGTCTGGTGTCTGGTCTGAGGCCGAATTTGAACTCAGGTCCTCCTGACTCCAGGACCGGTGCTCTATCCACTGTGCCTCCTAGCTGCCTCTAAAACCATCATTTTTTAAAAATCCACAATCTGTCATCTAAATTATTAGAATTAGAACCTAGCTCTGTTAGGAACACACAAAACTTAGAGCCTGTTCCAATTCCTAACCCCTTCCCACTCGTCCATGGCCAGGGAAACATCCAGCTTAGTGCCTCTCCAGCTTCCAGTACTCTCTTATCTGTCCTGACCACAGATGACATTGCTTCATCCCGGGTGGGTTCAGAAGCCATCCCCTGGCCATTAATGCCACCTGGGGCCTGCTCATAAGCTGTGACAGCAGGCAGTTGGCTAAGAAATTCTAGCTCCTTCAACCTGAAAAGCTGACCTTTAAACCCTTTTCACATACTTTTTATTGATACCTTTTGTCTTTAGATCACAGATGTTTCTGGGGAAGGGGAACAGCCCCCTCTTCCATCTCCTAGATTGAAACCTTCCCTAGGACAAAGAAAAACAAGCAGAAAATGTCTGGTGCTATGACCACATCAGACAGAGTATACAACATTCTGCACCAGCAGTCTCCCACCTCTTTACGGTGGGGAAGGCAGCATGATTCTTACCTGTTCCAGGACCACCACTGGTTTTTCGGTTACTCAAAGTTCGGCTCCCGTTGGTGATCTTTTAATTCATACTGTCATGTCACATTTTCAGGTGGTTGCGGGTCCATGTATGAAATACATATAGAGTCAGAAGAATTTAAAGACAAGCGTATTTTACAGCAGCACCAGATGGTGAACAAGGTTAGTAGAAGTAATAACCATGTCACATTTCTGCCCCACATGACAGTTCTCAAAACCTGTTCCTCACAACCGACCTGTGAGGTCAGCGTTCAAGGACTATCATCCCTATTTTACCTAGGAGCAAACTGAACCCCAAGAGGTTAAGTGCTTTCTCCCCTGTATCACGAAGCTAAGGCACTGGTAATACTTGAAGACACCGTCCTTCCTGTCACCATTCCCACCCCCACCGCCAAGCCTTCTCTTCTCTGTTTCCTCCAGTTGGCCAGTCATCCTGTGGCAGAGATTCGAGGCCTTCCCCTTCCTAAAGAGGGGTCCCCAGAGCTGAATGCAGTGCCCCACGTGAGGCCTGACCAGGCTTTGTGCAGGAGAGGGAGGGGAGAGCTTGGTTGTACGTCTTCCTGCTATTCTGGCATCTTCTCGAGATAGCTGTCCAGGGGCTCTCACCATGTGCCCTCAGGAAGTCCTCTGCCTCCCCCTCCTGTGCTCTTTTCCACTCTATCCCGGCTTCCTCCTGTGGGATTCTTCTTCAGGTAGGGGTTGGACTAGACGACCCATCCAGTCCGTTCTGATGGGTCCTGATCCAGGCACAGTGCCTGGAAGTGACTAGCGCGCTGGCCCCAAGCCCTCGTTCCCAGGGTCGAGGGCACAGAGAACGTTGGCCTTCATCCCTTGTGGACAGGCTGTTTCTCAGAAAATCCGGTCCTGGCTTTGAGGCTCCTTTTGTTAACCGTTGCTGCCCCCAAAAATGAGATTGCCCTTTTGTTTATTTAGGCGCTAAAAGAAGAGATTAAAGAGATGCACGGGCTGAGAATCTTCACGTCGGTCCCAAAGCACTGAAGCCTTGCTGGGAGCCTGGGACTGCCGCTGCTGCTGCCGCTGCCGCTGTGATGGTGTCCCGGGAGGGGACGGATGCCGTTTTCCCACAGCGTTTGCCCTCCACGGTCTCCTGTAGCTTCTGGCCGTCTCCGTGCTCTCGTGATTGAGGAGTGTTTGGGCTGTTCAGATATTCATTAAAGACAAAAGACTCCCATGACTTTGGAAACCTTCTTTTTCTGACCAAAGTCATTATCTTTCTCTGCTGACTGTCCCTGGCACTGTCCAGGGCCACACACTAGTACCGGAGACCAGAACTGATGTGTCCATCTACTCGGACTCGTAGGATCGTGTTATTACCCAAGGGAAGGCCACACCCAAGCTCCTTTTAGGTTCCCACCTGTTGCTTACAGGGGAATGCACCAATTGAAGCTCATTTAATAAAACATGGAGATCACGAGTCACCTCATGTTTGCCCTAGGGCATCTTGTTCATTTGGTCCTGACCAACAGTCCTCTGAGGGAAGTTGGTAGGGGTATTGCCTAGACTTGGAGTCAAGAAGAGACCTGGGTTTGAATTCTGCCTGTGACACTTAGCCATGGGATTGTGGGCAGGCCACTTAGCTTCCCTAAGGCTTAGTTTCTTCTGTAAAATGGGGATAACCTCACAGGGTGGTTGTGATTATTACCTCTGGGACCCTCTAAGACCCAACTGAAACACCTCGTCATCATTTATTGTCCTTCAAAGGCTGACACCAACCTGCCTCTCCAGGCCTCTTGAATGTCATTCATACATTCCACAATGCTGCCAGATTAGCTTCCTTCATATTCTTCATGCGTAGCATTCCCTCTCCCTCCTCTGTGCCTTTGCCCTCACGCCAGGTGTGCCTTGATCCCTCACTTCTGTCTCTTAGAATCCCTAGTTTCCTTCAGTTCTCAGTTCAAAGCCACCTTCTACCTAAAACCCTATTCCTCCTAGCTGCTATTGCTTCCCCCCACCAAATTCTCTTTTTTGTTTATCTTTATATATGTACCTGTTGTGTTCCCCAGCTGGAGTGTAAGCTTCTTGAGGGTAAATACTATTTCCTTTTTGTCTTTGTGTTTTCAGTGCCTGCATACAGTAGATGCTTAATAAATACTGGTTGATAAGTATCAAATAAGAAAATAATGTGTAAAGCACTTTGAAATCTTGTAGGGTCATCGCCATCTTATAACGTGTATCTTCTACTGAACCTAGCAATGTGCTCTGCACACAGTGGATGTTGGACCGATGCTTGTCAAAAGAACCTCCACTTACATGCTACAGATGAGCAAACTGAGGCTTAGAGAGGGGAAAGAATTTGCCCGGTCACAGAGCCAGGAAGTGTTGGCAGTGGACCAGCTAGGTGAACGCAGACGTGGACAACACGATGTAGGGGACATCAGAGGCCAAGGACCTGGGTTCAGATCCCCACTCTGTCACAGATGATCCGTCTGACATTGGGTAAGTGACCCTCAGCTCTTTGGTTTCCTTATCTCTAAAATGATGCGGGGGGGGGGGGACTAGATTTCTGAGCTGCCTTCTAGCTGCATCTGTAATCGCCTTAAGTATTTATTCCATTCCTTTTATGTGCAAGGTGCAAGGAACTGGGGACACCAAGGAAAAGATGAAAACATCCCAAAGAACTTACATTCTCCTGGGGTCTACAGCCCATGGAGAGATAAGGGAAGAGTAGATTAAGAGGAGATGGGGAGCACTGGATATTATGGAGATGAGGAAAGAATGATTGTAGGAGGCGACCATGGAGAGATGCTGTGCAGAAAGGTTCTAGAGGCTAAGGGTAGCGGAGGAGAGCATTCCAGGCATGGGCAACAGCCAGCGCAAAGACAACGTTGGAGGCTGACTTAGGCGAGGGGACAGAGGTTCCAAGGAAATGTTGAGATCCACCATGCTACCGTGACACTATGGTGGGCTCAGTTAACAAGATGGCCACATCCATTCAAGCCTGGGAGCCGACAGAGCTGAAACTTGTGTGTACTGATGGTTTCATGAAGTCTGCAAAGACAAAAGAGACAGTGGAAAACACCTGGGCTTGGAGTCAGAAGACCAAATCAAAACCCAGATCTGCCCCTTACATATTTCTGGCCTTTTTCATCTCAAAAGATCATGTGACCTCAGTCTCATTAACAAGCTTTACCATCTCAGTGAGCCAGTCACAAGTTCTAGTAACACTGTCTCTTTGGTTGGGAAAATTAATCAACCAATTCACAGACATTCATGGGGCACCAGCTGTGTGTCCTCTCTGAGATGACCTCCCCTCTCCTCTGTTTATATCTTCTTTTTACTTAATTATTTACACATTGTCTCTCCCATTAGACTGCAAGCTTCCTGAAGGCAGGGACTGTTTTTGCCTCTCTTTGTATCCCAGTGCCTGGCACTGCTAAATAAATGCTGGCTTCCTGGTCCTTACAAGCGGAGCACTAAGTGCTGGAGAACGCAAATACAAAAGTGAGAATCCCTGCCCTCAAGGAGCTTATGTTTGACTGGTGGAATACGATGGGTACACAGATAAATGTGTGATATGCATGTGTGTGCATCATGTATGCATACACACCTATATACATCAATGTTATATAATGTGTATACGTTATACCTACACACACATAAAATAAATAAAGAGTGACAGGGGAGAGGTGCTAATAAACTAGAGGGATCAGAAAAAGCCCAGAAACTTGTCATTTCTAATGTCTTCCATGTCTTGTCTCAAGCATATGATTTATTGGGTGGAGATGATCTCTCACTAATAAGGACACGACTGCTTTTGCAAAACCCTTTTCGTTGAAGATTTTATTGGTGCTATTTCTTTGTGTACCAGCGGCCTTCCTAATACTGCACCTCCCATAAAATCTTCCCACGGGACAACGAAAATCCTTTTAGCCCAACGGCCATGTGTCTAAACATCGTATGCCGTATTTGGATCCTAAAGTCCAACACTTCTTTACCAGCTGGAGGAAGATATGTCTCATCAGCTTTCTAGTAAAAAGACTGATCAGCGCATTTAATATTAGCTCTGATGTCTTCTAGTATTATTTTCATTTACGTTACATGGGAAGACTTGAACTGAGACAGAAGGTGAGAAGAACCAGAGGGGTAATATACATAATAACTACAATAATGTAAATTTAAAAAAATACCAATAGGAAAACAAATTCTGAGCAATTGTAGTGAATAATCTTAGTGAGCTAGGTTACTGCTGTGATGGATAGAGTGCCAGCCCCGCAGTCAGGAAGACTCAACTTCCTGAATTCAAATCTGGCTTCAGGCACTTCCTAGCTGTGTGACCCTGGGCAAGTCACTTAACTCTGTCTGCCTCAGTTTCCTCCTCTGTCAAATGAGCTGGAGAAGGAAATGGTAAAACCACTCCAGTATCTTTACTAAAAAAGCCCCAAATGGGGTCCCAAAGAGTTGGACATGAAAGAATTCAGTAAGGGCTAATGCTGTACTTCTGCTTCTGCTCTTCACTCTGCATCAGTCCTTAAAAGAAGAGGGAAGAATAAACACTTATTAAGTACCTACCATGTGCCAGGCACTGCACTAACAAATAGCTCATCTGCTCCTCACAACAGCTCTTCATGGTAGCTGCTGTTTTAATTCCCGTTTGACAGTTGAGGAAACTGAGACAAACAGGTTAAATGACTTGGCCAGGATCACACATCTAGTGTGTGAGGCCCACTTTGAACTCAAGTCTTCCTGACTCCAGACCCAGTGCTCCACTTAGCTGCCCCAATCTATCAATTTGGCAAAGACGACAGAACACAAAAATGAAAATTGATGGAGGGGCTGTGAAAAGAGAGGCACTCTCACACACAGTTGGTGGAGTTGTGAATGTGTGAACTGTTCTGGAAGAGTGTGGAACTAGACAACACATGCCACAAAACCATACAAGAGGCTGCTGGACAGCTCCAACTCATTGTTCCACATTCATCTCAAGCTCGACATGTCCAAAACAGGACTCCCCACCCCCAGACTCTTCCCTCTTCCCGTTTTCCTTCCTAGTCTGATTCCAGTCTGTCTTCCAAGGCTTACTGTGTGTTATTCCCCTTCACACACCCAACCCCTAATCCCATTCTTTCTCCTTACTGTGACCCTCTAGGGTCTAGGCCCTCACCCCTTCAATGGCTACAGTCTTCTTCCTTCTCCATTTTAGCCTCTTGGTGAACCAATTCACTTCTATACTATCCTCTTTATCTCAATCAGTTAAGCAGCATTTATTAAGTGCTTACTATATGCAAAGCACCATGTTAAGCATTGAGGGCAAAAACGCAGTCCACTTCTCTAGGAGCTGCCATTCTAATGGGTGAGACAAGATGGAAATAACTGTGGACCTTACCTGTGACTATATTCTACTTAGGGTCACTGGATCATAGATTTTAAAGAAAGAAGTCCTGGCCATAATCCTCATTTTACAGATGAGGAAACTAAGACAAACAGATGTGAAGTGACTTCTCCAGGGTTACCCAGCTAGTAAATATCTAAAGTCGAAGACGAACCCAGGTCTTCCAGACTTCACTAAGTCAGAGTGCCTCATTAGAGAAATCCCAGGGCGGGAAGGAACCTCAGAAGCCCATGAATCCAACCCACTCCTCATCTAGCCTGATGAATCCCGGTCCCAGGGAACTCACTGGGTTCCATTTTCTGAGGGTTCTTTTTCATTGTCGGGAAGCCCCTTCTTCTGATGGGCGGATGATGGCTTCCACCCATTTAGCTTGTTTTTGGTCCTTTGAGAGTGGAGAAGGGAAATGCATCTCCTTCTTGCACATGACAACCCTTTAAATCCTGGAAGACTCTCATGTCTCCTCTGAGCCTTCTCTTCAAGCCCTCTCCCCACACCCCCAAACCCTTCAACGTGTCCTATTAAGGCAATGTTTCTAGTCCCCTCACTATTTTAGCAACTCTTCAGCTAATTAACATCTTTGCTAAGATATGATCCTCAGACCTGGACATAATCCAACCTCTTTCATCAAAAATTTAAAGCACTTGCCCAGTGTGAAATGGCATTTTCCTCCTCGGTTGTTACTACAGCAATGCTTGTCTCTGGACTTCAAATTCCTTTATAATCTAGCTCCAGACCTGTCAGTAGATTGATTTTTCGTCACTCCTTGCATGTTCTGTGTTCTGGCCACGGTGGCCTATGTGGGGTTCTCCTACACATATTCCATCTCCCCTCTCCTCACTTCACATGTTCTCCCTGTCCATACTTCCATCTCTTGGGATCCCCAGATCCATTTGAATCTTAGCCTGGATGCCACTTCCTAGATGAGGCCTGATCGTGAAGGCCTCTCCCCACTCACATCCTTGCCTGAAATGGCTTTGCACAGATTTGATTTTTACTTATACGACCACAGGAATATAGATTTAGATCAAGAAAAGAATTTCAGAGGCCATCTAGTCCAACCCCTTTACTGTACAGATGAGGAAACTGAGGCTCAGGACTGAGTGACTTGTTCCAAATCACACTTTTACTAAGTGTGTCCTCTGACTAAATCGTGTCTCTTTCCACTAACTTTTCATGTGTCTCTCATCTGCCAATCAAAGCGCCAAGGAGAATGAGGTCAGGCTCCCCCACTCCTTTATGCTTCTCCCAGCCAGCATCCTGCACACAGCCGTCCCCACCCGCCACGGTTCCTGGCGTCCCCTCTCACCAGAAGTCTGGACCTTTTCTGTTGCCCTGTGACTGATCGGTGTCTGCCTGGGATCCCAGCGGAGGCCTTCCTCTCCCTCAAGTGTTCAGACCCGTCAGTGACCTCGGGCCCAACACAGCTAGGTGGTTTGAGAAGGAAGCCCTTCCCTGACACTACCAGGGTACAAGCCGGTCCTGTTGTGGTCAGTCATGGTAAGAGGAGGAAGGTCCCCCTGGGCAGCATGTCTGTGGCCCGGATCTTCCTGAGAGGACAACCAGCTTCACCAGTGGGCCACGAGCCACTGAAATGCACCATTTGTTCATTTAGCCTTTCCATCAAGAGGACAAACGTTTCCGCTATTTGATACCTCGGGCCCATGGTTGCACGTGTGTGTGTGTCTGTGTGCGCGCTCCCTCTAGTGATGCAGAGTGAGAATACAGCATCGCAGGGAGACGGATAACCCCAGCCTTGTGTCAGCGGCGAGTGCCCACAGGCCGGAGGTCTGGTCAGCTTTGTGATCTGTTGGCTGGTACAGCTTTTGTGACCCCAGGGCATGACCAGGCACCAGCCAAAGAGAAACTGAGGTTGTTCTCAGACTGTCAGTCACAGCTTTGAGAATCTATTGGTTTTTTCCCCAACACCCAGAAATCAGATCAAGTCACTGTTTTCTTTCCACATGCTTTATTCTAGTGAAAATAAAGTTACAAAAGTCGATACAAAACACTCTTTTAAAAAGTTGAGGGAACTTACGGAGGGAAAGTCACTAAAGCTTCTGGAATTGATGTAAAAAACATTATAAAAACTTGCTGGGTCAGAACCAAGGTTACCTCAGGCAGACTTCTTCCAAAGGCATTGATTCGTCTGTAGGAGTGGCAGATCGGGGCTGAGCACTAATCAGCCTCGGTGGGAGGGACGTACTGGCCACTTGGGGCACTGCCCTAGTCTCACCCTCGTATTCCACTGCTCACAACCAGTTTTCATTCACAGAGCACTCTCCAAGACTGAATGTGGTATTGACAGAAAAGAACCCAAGTGGGTTTCAGGTGTGATATCCTCAATCCAATTAGCCCTCTAACACATCATTGAATGAATACAGAATTTTCTGGAACTGACACTAAAAATCAAGATGAAGCTAGGACAGATCTCATTCGAAGGTGGCTTCTCCTCTTCTAATTCCTACCCTTCTCCCCAGGGGCTGCCCTGATAAAGACACAGGAAGACAGAAAAAAACGTGAACTACTTCGCTTTTCGGTTAGGACGCTAAAAGCAAGCCCACACACTGGACAGGGCACCAGCGAGGGGCTCACGTGGCCACTCTGGCCTTGGTTCCTGACTGTGTAAGGAGCGTGATGGACAAGGAGGCCACAGAACCTCTCAGATGGAAAGGACCTCAGGGCCATTGAGTCTAACCCATCCTCAAACAGGAACCTTCTCTACAGTAAGACCAAACCAAGCAGGAATGGGAAACCCACTAGGCCTCTGGAGGAAGGCTCTATCACTTCCAGCTCTACTATTAGTGGCCTATATGTGCTCTGTTCCCTCTGTCTTTGGAAACTGCACTTGCCCAGGACCAGGGGCAAGCCTGCAGCAGGAAGAAAGGGAAGGAGGGAGGGAGGAAACCACTTCTCATTAACACCAATATTGTCTCTGCCCTACAGACTGGCTTACACTGTCTTTTAATTCTGGTTAGGTCTTAGTCAAAGACTTTCTCCTCAGTCTTCATGTAAGTTAATATGGGTACCCAAAATCCTATTCTAGGAGTAAGAAAGGGACACTGGAGATCATCTGGCTTCACCTATCCCTACAGCCTCTCCACCAAGGGGACCCTGTTCACTGTCTCCAAGTACCTTCTATAGCCGGGCTCCTCCCAGTCAAGGGAAGGTCAGCAAGGTCACTGGTTTTAGTTACGATCCTGTTAACAGGCTCCCACTCACAACGGACCTGTCTCATATTTTAATGGCATAATTTTACAAGCCCCCAGTGGCTTTTCAGAGAGGTTCTTCCAATCCACAGACCCTTGAGACTTTGGCAAGCCCTAACCCATAAATGCAGCACTTATGAATGATCTACACATGAAGAGCTGGCCAGCTGACACTCTTCCTCCAGGAGGAGTGCCCAGTATTAGAACAGCTACCCCAGGCATTACCCACGCCTTTACAGGCTGGCCTGCGAACCGACCTCATCTATCAAATAGAGGGCTTCTTCATGTTCTTTTCTGTCAAGGACCCCTTTGGCAGTCTGGAACCTGGGCACCCCTTTAAAACACAGATTTAAATGCATAAAATAACATACATGGGATTACAAAGGCAACTGATTCTATTGAAATCAAGTGATTCAAACCGATAAAAACACCAAGTTCACTGACTCCAGTGAGGTTAGAGCCTCTGTACTGCCCCCTTCCAGCTTGAAATTTTAGGACTGAGTATAAGCACCAGGGAGAGAATGTGACATGCAGGCCCAGGCTCAGGCTCTGACATGGTTATGCTGTGTGACCTCAGGAAAATCACTGTTCCTTTCTGTGCCTTCCTTTTCTCAGTTATAAAGAGAGGGAACGTCACAGAAGTGGGCAGGGATAGATTGTGTCCATAGTCCCTTCTGGACCTCTGATCCACAGACTGAATGCTAATGACTTGGTGAGCTTTTACAGGAGAATGGGAGACTTCCTACATATTTTAATGTAAAACTAGAAAAGATTAGAAACCAAGCCAGCAGCTGGGTACACACATTCCTCTCTTGCAGGTTTGAAAAAACAGTTTTCAAGCCAAGCAATGCAAAGTTAAGGATGGAACCTGATCAAAAACTCTGTGGATGACATCTTCTCACTGTAAAGCTCAGGCAGCAGGACTCTGTTGGGTTGGTCGGATTATCTGCCGCTGCATGGGGGAAAGCAATCTGCCCCCCTCCAATCACCTGCAGAACACCACAACCCTGGCAACGATGGATGTGGAAAGGGTGGGGAGGATTAGAAAAAGAAAAATAAACCACACTGGATCCTCTGGGGTTTCTGTCCTGGTGGGATTAAATGTGTTTGTAAAGTTCATATTTAGCATTCTCTCTTCTGGTCAGCAAAGACCAGGCTCACAGAAGAATCAAAGAGAGGTGACCCAGCAATGGTGAGATCCATGGTGAGGAAGCCCTGGACAGGGAGGGGAGCTGTCATAAAGGCAGTGAGGGCCCACAGGTGGGACAGCTGCACCGGCGATGTGGGAAAGGCAAAAGGAACCAGGGGAAGGCATCTGTCATATCGGGTGGATCCTCTTTGGCAAGACATGGGTGATGACTGCCCAGGGAGCCATGTGGGAGGGCCTGTGATCTCCCTGGTGGATGATGGACCTTCCCAACTAGGGTTTGGTCAAGATAGATGGTTTTACTCTAAACCTTAACAAACATTTTCTGTAAGTGTGTCCAGGTCCAGGGCTGGTTCCACTAAGTGATACAAACAGGTGGAACCCAAACAAACGGATGATTAGGCATGACTTCTCTCTCTCTCTTTTGGTGGACATCATCAAGATGGCTGCCAAGTGGCCTCTCCAAACCCTGGGCCTGCCCACTGGGGGGATGCTAGGAAAGCCAGCCTAACACCCACTGCCCCGGCCCTGAGGAAGCCCGGGGTCAGGAATCCTGGAGCTTGAGCCAGAGAGGACATCAGAAGGCATACAGCCCGATGCCCCCATTTTACAGATGAGGAACCTGAGGCCAACAGAAGCTAGATGATGCGCCCAGGGTCACACAGGCAGTCATTGTCAGAGGTCAGACGGAGCCGTCCTCAACCCCTACACTGCCAGTCTGATACCTCATTTTAAGGAGAAAGAAGAAAGCCTAGAAAAAGGAAGACCCATGTCCCAGATCGCCCAGGTTAAGTCCGTGGCAGCCTGGCAGGACCTGAAGCCACATCCTTCGCTGCAAAGCCGCAGCATCTCCCACTAACTCAGCGTCGTCCTCCCCCTTAGGAACCAACTAGAAAAGATTTTTCCCCCAAAGAGAAAACACATTTTGCCCAGAATCATGTGATACAAAAATACACTAAGCACACAAAGGAGATGCTTTCTCCCCAGGGTCCAGCCCCTTTTGTCCTGCGGGTGACGGTCGTGAGGAAGCCCCTTAGACTGTGGCCCTTCAGACAATGCCCCACCTGCCGGGCTCCTCTTCCCATGGCAGGGCTTTCTCGGTGGCTTCCCTGGAGTCCCCACCACCGGGACCTTTCCCCCCTATGCCAATGGCCTACTTAAGGCAGTTAAGGTTCATTCAAAGTGCATGGAGAAAAACTCAAAACAGAACCAAACAAACTTGAAACAACAGAACTCAAGCAGTCCTAAATGCACGAGGAATCGTCCCCCCACCCAGCGTTGCAAATGTGGTGGAAAATTAAAAAACAAAAACACCATGACAGTGGCTTTGAGCCCCGCGTCTGCACACAGGGCATTTCTGTTTCGCAAAAAACAACCCCCTGCCCCCACCTTCCTAGAACACAAAAGCTCCCAAGCATCGGTGAACTGGAACCGGGCCCTTTCACACACTAAAGTCTATATTGAGAAAGCCTATAATTCACTTAAGGAAAAACAAAAAAAAAGCACCACGCTCCCTCCCTTGAGGGAGTCCGTGCCCAAAACCCAAGTCCTGTCTTGGCCACGAATTCCTGTGGTCGCTGGCGGGCCACCTGATGCCTGCTGGCAGAGCTGGGCCCCAGGAGGGGCAGCCCGTCAGAAGAGTCCTTACCTTACCTACTCCTGCACGCTCTAAAAGTATAGTCATCGATCTTTTTTTCCTCAACCCCCCCCCCATACTTTGAGAAGAAAAGATCTAGCAGAACAATAAAACAATCCTTTTCCAAGTTCTGGACAAGCTGCCCAAGTGTCTCGCAAGACCTCTTCCCAAAGTTCTGAGTCTACTGATGATGGGTGGGATGTCTTAAATCCCAGGCCCATCCCCACCCAGCATTTCAAATACTGCAAAAAGCAACAGGAGGAAGGGGGATGTCGGACCCAGAATCAGAATTTCTGCTTAAAAAGAAAAGCCCGTGAAGGACACTGGAGTCCTTGCCCTCCCCCTCCCCCCACCAGGGAACAAGTAGCAGCCCAGAGAGTCAACAGGCTGCAGGTGACAGAAGAAATAACTATGATTAACTACCCAGGATGCCCCCCAGGGGTGCCCCAAGGCAGAGGGGGCAAAGGCGGCAAAGGCTTTGGCCAGTCTGGCTCCAGGCAAGACAAAGAGGTGTGGTTCCACTGAGGCACCCTAACTGAACAAGAGGAAATGACCCCTTGGAGCAGGAGTGACCAGGGGCTGGGTCAGGCTGGGGGTCGTCCTTCTGCGGCCATCTATCTGTCCTTGGAGCCAAGCTTCTCAATCAGCTCCTGAAGAGGGGCCAGCTCACGTCGGTCAATGAGATTGAACTCCTGGAGGGCAGGGAGGAGAGTGGGGAGAGAGGGGAGAAGAGGAGATGAGAGAGAAGAAAGAGGGGAGGGGAGAGTTAGAAGAAGAAAAAGGAGAGAGGGGAAGGAAGAGGGACAGGGGAGAAGGGAGAGAGAGAGGAAAGAGGGGAGATGGGGGGGCAGGAGAAGGGGTAAGGAGAGGAGAGAGGAGAGAAGAAAGGAGAGGGGAGAGAAGAAAGAAGAGGGGAGAGGGGAGAGGAGAGGAAGAGGAAAAGGGAGAGAGGGAGAGGGGACAGGAAGGAGAGAGAGAGGAAAGAGGGGAGATGGAGGGACAGGAGAAGGGGTTAAGAGAAGATAAAGGAGAGAGGAAAGAGAGGGGAGAAGGGAGGGACAAGAGAAGGCAGAGACAGGAGATGAGAGAACGGGGAAGGAGAGGGGAGAAGGGAGAGGAGAGAAAAGACAGGAAAGACGGGAGAAGGGGTTAGGAGAGGATAAAGGAGAGAGGAAAAAGAGGGGAGAAGGGAGGGACAGGAGAAGGTGTTAGGAGAGGATAAAGGAGAGAGGAAAGAGGAAAGAGGAGAGGGGAGAGAGAGCCACCAAATCAGTCCACAATTCAACCTTCTTATTAATCACTCCCTGTATGGACAAGCATTTATTAAGCCCCACATATAAGCTGTAGATGGAGAAGACTGCGGCCACGAGGTCACAGGCAGAGGGAGCTGCGGCTGCAGAGGACCCCTCCACCAATGCAGGTCACTGTCTTCTCTTGTGCATCCTGACTTAGTTGCTTAGAGCAATGCAGAGAGTACTGGGCCTAGAGTCAGGCAGACCTGAGTTTGAATCCTGCCTCGGACACTTCCTAGCTGGGTGCTACGGACCCTGTGCCAGATGGTGTCAGAAGTGGCACTGGACCCCAGGGCTTCTCGGCCCGCCTCCCACTGTCCCCACAGAGTTAGGAATAACAATCATAACAGATCCTTCTCCAGGGCTCCAGAGATCCTGCAGAACAGTTTACTTCTGTGAGTCCCCTGAGGAGAGCGGAGGCTTCATGATTTAGAGGGGCCAACCACCTACTCTGTTCTGACATTTTCACATGCCCTGGTGACTACCTGAGGGCATAACAGGCCTGGGAAGCCAGACCTGGGCAAGGCCTGCCCATCTGAGACCCTGCCGCTGCCTCCTGTGTTTAAGGCTAGGAGGCAGCGGGGCTGCAGCCCAGGGGATCTTGGCCTGATGACTCCTGCAGGCCAACCCTGTCAGGCCAAGGAGTCAAACGCCCTGAAATGCAGTCATCAAAAATATATTTTTTAAAGTTCATGGCCCTTGGGTCACTTAGCCTCTAGACAGATAAGCTTTCAGAGAAGGTGGAGGCCTACACCGGTGAAGGGTGTTTCCTCATCTGGGAGTTCCCACAGAAATGCAACCCCGGTCCAATCCCTATCCCCATGTCTGTGTGTAAACAGGACCTGTTGGCACTTTGGTCAAAGCCTGGATTCAGCCTGGATTCAAATCCCACCTTTTCCAAACGGGTGCCCATCACCACACACACAGACACACAGACACACGGAGCTTCATCCCTGCATGACAAGTGGCATTCCTGATATCCTAGCTCTGGGGCTAGAAGCAGCAGCTCAGGCCCAGAGAGTAAAGGGGGCTTGAGCCTTCCCTCGAGGAGCCCTGAGGCCCCTTCCTCTCCCCTGTGAGGGTCTGACGCACCTGCACAAAAAAGATGAAGTGCTTGAAGGAGGTGTTGAGGTGTGCCTCCTCCTGCAGCTGCATCACTGCGTCAAAGTGCTGGTAGTAGATGTGCGCGTAGACCCGGAACAGGCGCTTCAGGATGGTCTTGGCCACCGACATGAAGTTCTTGGGGAACGGGACCCCTGGGGGCAGAAATCCACCTCGGTCAGCCCGTTAGTTGGCTGGTCAGTCAGTCAGCAGTGGACGTGGCTGGGGTGGTCAGCCTGCCTCCTTTCTCTGTCAAGAAGCCTTCCACGGAAGGAGCCCTGCCGCTCACTCATGGGCCAGAGAACGAGCGAGGCGGATGGTGAAGCAGAGGTGGGCTGGGGGCCACAGGAGGCCAGAGTTTGTCTGTTTCAGGCCAGGTCAACGATCACTTTTCCAGAGCCTACTTTTTATCACTAAGCCGGGCATGGTGCTCGGCACCGACTGACTCTGTCTAACTGTCCACAAGGGAGGGCCGTTCCTCTGGGGAGGGGTGCCAGATGTGAGACAGTGACGTGAAGAGAGACGGTCCCCAGTGCTCTGGGCCAACCTAATGACCAGGTGCAGCCCCCAGCAAGAGACAAGGAGATGTACCTCCTTCCCCACTCCTGGCAGGAGTGGGGGCCTATGGGTGCAGAGCACAGCAGAGGCTTTCCGCCCGCCCGTGTGCAAATGCGTTCTGTTGAACTGATGTTTTTCCTCTTCCTTTCTATGCTTTGTTACAAGGAAAGGTTTGCTGGACAGGGAAGGGAGGTGGGGGGGCTGAAGGGTGGAATGAAGGTGACAGAAAAATAAAAGCTTGTCACATATCTTAAAAAGGAAAAAACAGCACTAAAACCTTTCTTTTAAAAGAAAGTGATCCTTTGAAAGCAGGAGACCCCCATATTTTGAGAAGAGAAGCTACTTTACACTTCATAAAGCTGGGGGTGCAGATGGGGGTCCTGGGAGTTCCTACCAGGTGAACCTTTGGGACAGAACAAAAAGCTGGCAGCTTTCATAGAGACTCCGCAGAGGCTGAGCCGAGCCAGTAGAATGAGCGTCTGTCTGTCTCTCCCTCATCCACTGATTCCTCGCGCATTCATTCACTATTTGCTGAGGACTCCTCAGTATACCGCACAGTGACTCCAGACCTAGCCTGTCTCCTTCCTCAAGACAGCCCCGACCCAGCCAGCCCTTCTAAAGGCTCTCCCAGGGGAAGGCCCTGTGTAGCCTCAGTCAGTCAGTCAGTCAATCAGTCAGTCAGCAAGCACTTACTGATAACCCAGGGTGTGCCTGACGAGGTGGGAGTGGGCACGGGAGGGGCCTTCTATGGGTCCTGGGCCAAGATACAGGAGGGGAGCTCCACTGGGCTTGCCCAGGACCTCTGAGTTCACCAAGTCCAAACCCTCCTTGTTTTATAGATGTGGAAACTGAGGCCTGCCTTGTCTAAGATCTTGGAGGTGGCTACTCACACAGCCAGGATTCAAAGCCCTTCCCAAGATCCCACACTGCTTCTCCAGGGAGGGACCATCCCCTCCCTCTTTGTATTTCTCCCACAGAGCCAGGCACAGAGGAAGAGCTGTAGACATACTGGTTGCCATTGGGAAATGTGTTGTGTATGAATGAAAAGTCCTGTTAAAGGAAAAAAAAAATGCCTGTGGCTCACAGGATCAATCCGTGGAGAGGCCAAGGAGGTCCACGAGATAGGAAGAGGCCACGAGGCTGGGCACAATGAGCTCCGGCTTGGGAGACAGGAAGCCCTGGGTTCCAATCTCACCTCGGACACTTAACTAGGGTGTAACTGTTTCACAGTGGCCAGGCTAACTGGCTCTCCCCCATCACTGGAAAAGGTTGTTGGGCTCTAGGGGGCTCTCTAACTCACCAATCTTAGATGGGAAAAGTGTCTCGTCATCCAGCTGGTCCTGGACCCACGTCATCAGGTAGTCGATGTACTTGGGAGCAGAACATTTAACTGGCTTCTTGATGTTGGTGCCATCGGCCCAGTGGTACTCATATCTGCAGGAGAGATGCTTCGATAAGAAGGTGGCAAGAAAGCTGTCCCTCCCCAGTCAACTCGATGTAACTCGCGTCAACGTTTATGAAGCACCTACTATGAGCCAGCTGCTGTGGCTACAAAGACCCTTTGCAAAGGGAATTGGAGCCTGCCCTCAGGGAGCTTAAATCTGAAAGCAGAATCATTTTGAACAGGTCAGTGTGCAGGGGGCCAGCTGGACTCCAGTTCAGTCTGGGGTGGGAAGAGTTCCTGGAGCTATGCCAATTCCACCCTTCCCCGCCCTCACAAATCCCCCTACCCCAGAGTCATCTGCAAAGGACCCAGACTTTAGAGCAGTATAAGAAATGATGCAAAGTCCCTCTGTGGACACAGATCCATTGAGACCCCGTGAAAGTCACAGTATCTCATATCTATCACTGTCAACTAGCATTTATGAAGCCCCTACTGCGTGCTAGGTGCTGAGACGACAAAAGACAAAAATGAAAGCGCTCCTTGAGGGGCTCCTGATCTAGCCAGGGAGGACAACACAGATACACATGGGCATGTACAAAATAAAGACTTTGCTTTACATATGTTGATCTCATTCATTTTCACAGTCATCCTATGAGGAAGATGCTATTATCCTCATTTTCCAAATGCAGAAACCAAGACTCAAGAGGTTAAGTGATTTGGACAGGTCACACAACTGCTAAGTGCCTGAGGGGAGGATCTGAGCTCAGGTTTGCTGGACTCTGCCCCACTGTGGGCCGCCTCTCCCTACTCTTCAGATGACACTTTTACACAGAGAAGTTTAAAAAAAATTGTCTATTTTTATTCTAAACTTTAGACCAAATAAGACTAAATGCAGACTGTTCACCTCAGAGCTCTCACCCAAGGGAAGCGCTCACAGGTATTTCACTTTTTCTGCATGAGGGCACTGTAACAACAAAGGCCACTGACTGACTCAATGAGGCAACTTATTAACAAGGACCACCTGAGTCACTCCTGACTCCCCTCCAAGCTGCCTCTGGGGAAAACGTCCATGAAACCAGCACTAAAGAAAGGCTGAGTCAATCACGTCTGATGAAAGAGGAAGACCTGCCCCACGGAGAAATGGCAACCACTGATGCTGGGTTCAGGAACCCAGCCCTGGCTGCTGGAGCATGGCCAGCCTGTGGTGAGCCCCAAGCTGACTCATGACCTCTCCCTTCTTCCCTTCCCTACTACCATCAAGGGCACCCCCATTCTCGGAGGTCCCCAGGTTCAAAACCTTGGAGTCATCCTACATACTCTCTGTCATCCCTCATATCCAAGATGGTGCTAAGACCTGTCTATTTCACCCCCCCTTCTCTGGTCAACTTCACCTCTGCCCCATCTCTAGTCTATGTCACCCCCTCCCCCTTCTCTGGTCAATCTCCCCTCTGCCCCACCTCTGGTCAATCTCCCCTCTGCCCCACCTCTGGTCAATTTCACCTCTGCAGCACTTCTCAAATAGCACTTCCTTCCCTCTTCTGACACTGGCACAGAGCGTCCTCCCCTCTTGCCTTGACCACTATGCTAACCAGTAGGGGGTCAGCCTGCCTGAGTCCCTCACCACTCCAGACCATCCTCCATTCAGCCACCTAAAGTCCAGGCCTGATCAAGTCAGCATGGGAGCCCCAGGATCCAACCCAGCCGTCCACAACCCGGCCCCTCCTACCTCTCCAGCCTGTTCTATAGTCTTCTGCTTCATGTACTCTGAAGGTCCAGCATACTGGCCTTCTTGCTGTCCCTCCCACAGGACACTCTATCTCCCATCACCATGCCTGAAGTGCAGTCCCTGCTCCCCCATCCCCCTCTTAGACTTCCTAGCCCCTTCAAAGCTCAGCTCAACACCACCTTGCAGACTGTCCTGGTCACCCAGCTGCTTGTGGCACCCCTCCCCAACCCTGTTACCTCTTATTTAAATGGTATATATTTGTATCTGTACATGGTGGCTTCCCTATAGAATGGAAGCTGCTTGAGGGCAGGAGGCTGATTCCATTTTGTCTCTGTATTCCCAGGGCCTGGCACATTTCCTTGGCATCAATGGGAACATGAAATGCACCAAGAGGCTGCCAAGGAGAAGCAGATGTTTTTGAGCCCACAGACACAGAGAGGGTGGTACCAAAGGGGCCAGCCCTCTCTGGGCAATGCCTGGGATGCGTCTGTAAGTCACCTAACAAACACAGAGGCCCTGGGGAGCCCTTCTTACCTGGGGCCTGCAGACATCACTGGGCAGCTTGCTTCTGTGCAAAATTCGGTGATCGTCCCATAGAGCATATTGATCTGGTTAAAGAAATCCACGGCTGTGGAGAAAGAACAGCAGTCCTGCATTAAATGGGGGCCATGCTTCCTTACTTATTACCTGTGTGAACTGGAACAACTCACTTAATCCTTTGGGGGCCTCAGTTTCCCCATCTGTCACATGGGAATAACGATAACTTGGCACAGCAGATGGAGAGCGGGCTGAGGAAGACCTGAGTTCGATTCCTAGCTATGTGACCCTCGGCATGTCACCTGAGAGGGCCCCACAGCCAGTATGTGTCTGAGGTAAGACCTCCCCCCAAAGGCCACGCTGAGGATGCAGAGAGAACACCGCACAAACCTAGAGGTGTTTCATAACGTCAACCATTCTGATCATTGTTCTCACAGAGATCTCTGCCTGCCACCCATCCTTTCACCTAGTGCGTCTCAGGGACTTTGCTAGGTGCTAGAAACGGGAGGAAAAATGAAACCGTCCCTGCCCTCAAGGAGCTTACATTTTATATCGGTAGGTCTCTTAAGGGCACTGTGCCTCAGTTTCCTCATCTGTAAAATGAGGTAGTTGGACTCAATGGCCTCTCGGGCCCAACCCAGCTATAAATCCATGGTCTTATGTACGTTTACAAGTACATCCAGGTATATCCAGAATAAAAACAAGCTCAAATTCAGACGACAGGCACATAGCTCACCAGCGTGGCCCCTGGGGGGCCTGTACGTGGAGCTGCTTCAGTGTGTGCATGAGCGCTCGTGTGTGTGTGTGTGTGTGTGTGTGTGTGTGTGTGTGCGCGCGTGCGCTGATGGGGAACGACCTGCCAGGCGCTCCCAAAGCACCTACTGGAGCATGGAAGAGGCACAGAAGGGCTCAGCTCCACAGGCTGTGATCCCACCCCCAGCCCTCAGTGACAAGGAGAGTAAACAACGAGGCCCCAGTGATGAGACCTCGGCCTGCTTCGGGAAGGTCAGCACAGGGGCTGCTGCCCACAGAGCTCCTGGGGAAGGAAATTCCCTCTACCGGGCCTAGCAGCAAGTGTCATCTTGTAGAGCTGCCTGGCCAGAGGCCCGAGAGGGGAGAGGTGTCCTGACCTGCCCTGGCTCAAACAGCCAAAATGGTCTGAGGCAGGACTCGAACCCAGGACTTTCAGGACTGAAGGCTCACTCTATCCAACACACCATGGCACCTCTGCATTTCAAAATTAAAACAAATACTTTAAATAGAAATGAAATCGGGTAGAGAGAAGTGAAGAGCGGTATTTGGCGCCATTCTGCAGAGAAGGGGATGGTGGCCAAGGGACTGGCCCAGGGTCAGACAGCCAGTACCCAGCAGAGCCCACGTGGTGCTCAGGAACTTGCAGCGTCCCCACGTGCCTGCGAGGACAAAGTGCGCATGCCCGGTGTAGCTTCCGAGCTCCTCCCAGCAACCATCAGGCCTACATTTCTGCCTTCGCGGTATTCTTCACACATTCAACAGCTCAGCCAAACTGGCCATTCCTCCCCCGCCTAGGCCTTTGCCCAGGCTGTGCCCATGCCCCGAATACTCTCCCTCCTCACCATCCCTAAGGCTCAGCTCCAATGTCACCTCTTCCAGGAAGCCTTTCCTGATTTTTCTGGTTGTTCGCGTTCTCTCCTCTCACATGGGGCCGCCATGGTGCACTGAGCACCATGTTGAGTTCAAATTCAGCCTTCACCCCTTCCTATCTGTGTGACCCTGGGCAAGTCACTGTTTGCCTCAACTTCCTGATCTGTGAGCTGGAGAAGGGAACAGCAAACCCCTCCAGTATCTTTGCCAAGAAAGTCCCAAATGGGGTCATGCAGAGTCAGATGTAACTAAAATGACTGAAACTCTTCTCGCACTAAGCTAGGTTATTTATCTGTTTCACCGGAGAATGGAAGCTCGCTGCTTGGGTTTATCTCCTCTTCCACTGCCTGGTCTTGCGTCCTGCATGGTGGCTCGCACCCGCTGCCCGGCTGCCTGGTCTGGCTCCCCTCCCCGGATGAACTCCTCCCCTCTAACCTCACACCCCCACCGCCTCAAGCTCACCTCCCTGCGCTGCTGGTGGGCAGGGTGCCAAAGTCTCCCCAGGTCTTCCTTAAGAGGGTGGAGACTGGGCTCAGCTCCCTCTGCTCGGCATCTGCTGCTGAAGTGCTTCCAGTGCTGAGACCCCATGGTTTTATCAGCCTGAGAAAGCCCTCCACCAATGCTGATTGCCACCCATCTACACCTTCTAAGAAGTGACCTTCACTGGGGAGAAGTGTAGGGATCTCCCGGACGGGCAGGACTATGACTTCTCTGCAGCTCACCATCTTAGAGAGGGCTGCCCAGAGCACCTATGTCACACAGCCACAGCACACGTCAGACAGAGGGTTTGAACCCAGGTCTTGAAAGTCTGCTAAACGCTTTACAGACATCCTTTCATTGGAGCCTGACCTCAGTCCTAGGAGGGCAGTTCTAAGGTTATGATTCCCATTTTATAGGTGAGAAAACTGAGACTCAGAGTTCAAGTGACTTGTCCAGGGTCATACAATGGCTGTGTCAAAGGCAGGATATGAACACACATTTACCTGACTCCCGAGTCTAGCATCTCTAACCCCTTACGGGGTGTCCTGATGCCTCTCTGGGGATTGTTTCACTATCTTTGCATCCCCAGTGGCTAGCACACAGTAGAAGCTTCATAAATGCCTGCTAGTTGACCGCTGACCACTAGAAAACATTCTTCAAACATGCCTCAGTAAAAAGTTGTCCTCATGTTCCTGGGCTGGCTGAGAGTGGAGCCAGGATGAGTTCCAGGCAGGATGCACCCAGTAAAACAAAGCAGGGCCAGATGCCCAAGGCGAGGGAGGAAGGGTATGACTTAGGGTGCCACAGGCTAACTGCCTGTGTCCAGCCCATCAAAGAAGGACCACAAAGCCAGGGCAGAGACAGAGCCTCGCCCGAAATCTGGTTATCAGGACAGGCCATTCCCTGGCAGGTCCCAAAGCTCTCCTCCCTCCTCCTTTGAAAGCCCTTCCCAACCAGCTCCCTCTGGCCTCCTAGAATCAGGCCACAATATTCCCCTAACTGTTCTCGGCTCCAACCGAAGCAGACTTCCTGCCGATCTCTGAACCCAACAATCCCACCTCCCATCTCCAAGCCTGTACCCAGCCTGTACCCCATGCCTCCTCGCCTCTACCTCCCAGAATCCCAAGATTCAGTTCAAGCACTGCGTTTAACATGAGGCCTTGCCTGGTTCTGTCCTAGCTGCTAGCCTCCCCACTCCCACCCCCCATGACTTGGTACAAGCTCCCCAAGGGCAGGGACTGTTTCTTTTCATCTCCATATCCCCAGCGCCTGATGCAAGTAATAAATATGAACAGCTTCATGGATGCCTATTGACTGGCTGCTTGAGGACGAGGACGGAAGAGGTAGGAAACGGCTGGTAATAGGTGGCTTCTGCTAGAAAGCCCCTCCACCCACCCAGCCATTCTCGGCCTCGGTTCTAGCAGGGATTTGTTAAGCAGGAAGCCTGATAGAAGCAGAAGATTACTTTTGAGCCCCCACCGGGGTCCCCCAAAGCTGACCACAGCGTCCCTCCCAGAGTTACCAACAAGGATGAAGAAGGAAGACCGCAATGAAGGGCTTCTCCAAACCTTGGACGCCACTCCCAGCCAGGCCTCTGGGGAGGCAGCTTCGTGCCTGCCCCGGATCACCTCCTCTTACCCCCAGGAAGGAGGGCCCTTTGGGTCCCAGGCCCAGCATGCTGAGCGCAGAGGGCCGGGAGCGACAGCGGGGTCCCCACCCCAGACTCTGCTGTGCTGTCACGGGCGCCACACTGGGAACTGCGAGACCTGGGCTCCAAAGTTCGTCTCCTCCTCCCTTCGCGGATGCCTCTGAGGTCTCCTTCAGCCTGCCAGGCTAACCCTGGGCACTTGAGTCTCCTCCTCTGGGGCTCAGTTTCTCCATCCGTAACCCAATGATTTCTCTGAGGTACCTTCAAACTCTGAATGTGATGCTCATCTCCGTGAAGGCAAAAGCAAGGCGGGGAGCGACGCGGGAGGGCATGTGACGTGGCGACAGTCACTGCGTACTCCCGAGTCTCTCTATCTCGGCTGGCTTGGTCTCCCCCAAAGAGGAAGGAGGACTTCAGGGGCCACAGGAAGTCCCGAGCGATCAGCCAGCAGCGGGAGAGAGCCGAGAGGAGGGCGCCGCTCCCTCCCAGGGACGATGCTGGGCCTGCCCACCAGGGGGCTTCTCCAGGAATTATCAAAGGAAGAGGCAAATAGCCGGCATCAGCGACTGACTGCCTAGAAACAAGGCAGCTGCCGTCCACCTGACGACCACAGGTCTGACTTCTTCCCCAGCATCGAGGAGAAGGCATGTTCGTCTTCATCAGTCACCCCCTTTCTGGCCGTCCTATACTCGCCTCTGCCTCCTCTCCGTGTACATGGGGATCTAGGGACACTGCCAGGCTTGCTGCCACTCCTCAAACATGACACTGCCATCTCCAGCCTCCAGGCCTTTGTCCTGTCTCTCACGCCTGGAAGGCTCTCCCTCCTCTCGGCTTCCTTCAGATTCAGCTCAAGTACCAGCTTCCGCAGGAAGCCTTTCCTCTCCCTCCCCTCTCCCCACATGCCTTCCCTCTGGAATTTCCTTCCATTAATACTGCCTCTATTTTGTTGGGGCCAGCTGTTTGAGGTTCTCTCCCCCAGGAGAACGAGAGCCAGCGTCACAGCCAGAAGGAACGTGGAAAACGGCATCAGGGACTGAGACGCTCTGGGCAGGGCTGCCCGGGGCACAGGTGGTCCCACGTGACCCTGAAGGAAGGGGTGTCAAAGCGGATGGGAGACTGAGAAAGTGAACCTGTGGGCCCAAAGGCAGTTCCGAGAAGAGGGTCCTGCTCTCAGCTCCCGCCTGGGACGCGCCACACCCAACAAAGACTGGCAAAGGCTTTTTGCCTGGAGTGACGGAGAGCTGGTGTAGGGGACGCCTGCCTCCACAGATGCCTGAGGCCACCGGCAAACGCCAGAGCAAAGAGTGGATGCGAGGGGAGCTAGCAGGGGATTCGAGGAC